CTAGTTTGCCATCCACTTCTACTTCCCTACCAATTCTTCCCTGTTTGTGAGCAGCAGGTCAAGAGGAGCACAGCCCCTAGTTGGTTCCTCCAGCACTTGTACCAGGAAGTTGCCCCAACACTCTCCAAAAATGTCCTGGATTGTCTGTGCATTGCTGTATTGCTCTCCCAGCAGATGTCAGGGTCGCCCATTAGAACCAGAGCCTGTGATCTGGAAACTTCACTTAGTTGTTCGAAGAAAGCCTCATCTATCTCATCCTTCTGATCTGGTGGTCTATAGCACACGCCCACCACGACATCACCCTTGTTGCTCTCGCCTCTAAACTTAACCCAAAGACTCTCATCAGGCTTTTCTCCAGTTTCATGCTGGAGCTCTGAGCAATCATACTGCTTTCTTACATACAATGCAACTCCTCCACATCTCCTCCCGTACCTGTCCTTCCTGAACAGTTTATACCCATCCATGACAGTGCTCCAGTCATGTGAACTGCCCCACCAAGTTTCTATTATTCCAATCACATCATAGTTCCTTGATTGTGCCAGGACTTTCAATTCTTCCTGCTTGTTTGCCAGGCTTCTTGCGTTCATGTACAGGCACCTAAGATAACTAGCCGATTACCCTACTTTCTCAGTACGAATCAGGCAGCTTCCAGTCTTGTACCCTCCTCCTTGTGTTTCCTCCCGGTATCCCACTTCCCCACTTACCTCTGGGCTTAGGTCACCATTCCCTAGCGAACCTAGTTTAAAGTCTTCCTCACTAGGTTAGCAAGCCTGCCTGCGAAGATGCTCTTCCCTCTCTTTGTTAGGTGGATCCCATCTCTTCCTAGCAATCCTTCTTCCTGGAATAACATCCCATGGTCGGAGAATCCAAAGCCCTCTCTCCAACACCACCTGCGTAAGCACGCATTCAACTCCACAATTCAATGGTCCCTACCTGGGCCTTTTCCTTCAACAGGAAGGATGGATGAAAACATGAATTGCGCCTCAAATGCCTTTATCCTTCTTCCCAGAGCCACGTAGTCTGCAGTGATCTGCTCAAGGTCATTCTCGGTAGTACCATTGGTGCCCATGTGGAGAAGTAGGAAGGGATAGTCCGAGGTCTTGATCAGTCTTGGCAGACACTCCGTCATATCCTGGATTCTAGCTCCAGGCAAGCAGCACATTTCTTGAGTCTCCGGGTCTGGTCAGCAGATGGATGACTCCTTCCCCCACCCGTCCTGGCCACCACCACCCGTCTCCTCCTTTTGGGAGTGGTGGTCCTGGAACCCCTATCCCTAGGACAATGCATCCCATGCCTTCTGACCAATAGGGTCTCCTTCTGATCCCATCCCTTCTCCTTCTGTGCAGAGAGCCTGAAAATGGTTTTGCACCTCTATCTGCATTGGGGGTACATAGGTTCTCCTCTTTCTTCTTCTGGAGGTCACATGCTGCCAATATTCTTCAAAGGATGAATATAAACAAATAACACAAGTATGTAGGGACAAAAGTAGAAAAGCCAAGGCACAAAATGAGATCAAACTAGCTAGGGACATAAAAGGAAACAAGAAAACATTCTACAAATACATTAGAAGCAAGAGGAAGATGAAGGACAGAGTTGGCCCGTTACTCAATGAGGGGGGAAAGACAATAACAGAAAATGTGGAAATGGCATAGGTGCTTAATGACTTCTTTGTTTCAGTTTTCACTAATAAGGTTGGTGGCAATTGGACATCTAACATAGTGAATGCCAGAGAAAATAAGATAGGATCAAAGTCTAAAATAGGGAAAGAATAAGTCAAAAATTACTTAGACAAGTTAGATGTCTTCCAATCACCAGGGCCTGATGAAATGCATCCTAGAATACTCAAGAACCTGACTGAGGAGATATCTGAACCATTAGCAATTATCTTTGAAAAGTCATGGAAGACGGGAGACATTCCAGAAGACTGGAAAAGGGCAAATATAGTGCCCATCTATAAAAAAGGAAATAAGGACAACCTGGGGAATTACAGACCAGTCAGCTTAACTTCTGTACCCGGAAAGCTAATGAAGCAACAAATTAAGCAATCAATTTGCAAACACCTAGAAGATAAAAAGGTGATAAATAACAATCAGCATGGATTTGTCAAGAACAAATCGTGTCAAACCAACCTGATAGCTTTCTTTGACAGGGTAACAAGCCTTGTAGATAGGGAGGAAGCGGTAGATGTGGTATATCTTGACTTTAGTAAGGCTTTTGATGCTGTCTCGCATGACTTTCTCATAAACAAACTAGGGAAATACAACCTAGATGGAGTTACTATAAGGTGGGTGCATAACTGGTTGGAAAATCATTTCCAAAGAATAGTTATCAGTGGTTCACAGTCATGCTGGAAGAGCATAACGAGTGGGTCCTGCAGGGATTGGTTCTGGGTCTGGTTCTGTTCAATATCTTCATCAATGATTTAGATAATGGAACAGAGAGTACACTTATAAAGTTTGCGGACGATACCAAGCTGGGAGGGGTTGCAAGTGCTTTGGAAGATAGGATTAAAATTCAAAATGATCTGGACAAACTGGAGAAATGGTCTGAAGAAAACAGGATGAAATTCAATAACGACAAATGCAAAGTAATCCATTTAGGAAGGAACAATCAGTTGCACACATACAAAATGGAAAATGACTGCCTAGGAAGGAGTACTGCAGAAAGGGATATCGGGGTCATAGTGGATCACAAGCGAAATATGAGTCAACAGTGTAACGCTGTTACAAAAAAAGCAAACACCATTCTGGGATGTATGAGCCGGAATATTGTAATCAAGACAGAAGAAGTAATTCTTCTGCTCTACTCTGTGCTGATTAGGCCTCAACTGGAGTATTGTGTCCAGTTCTGGGCGCCACATTTCAGGAAAGATGTAGACAAATTGGAGAAAGTCCAGAGAAGAGCAACAAAAATGATTAAAGGTCTAGAAAACATGACCTATGAGGGAAGATTGAAAAAATTAGGTTTGTTTAGTCTGGAGAAAAGAGAAGACAGAGAGGACATGATAACAGCTTTCAAGTACATAAAAGGTTGTTACAAGGAGGAGGGAGAAAAGTTCTTCTTAACCTCTGAGGATAGGACAAGAAGCAAAGGGCTTAAATTGCAGCAAGGGCTGTTTAGGTTGGACATTAGGAAAAACTTCCTGACTGTCAGAGTGTTTAAGTATCGGAATAAATTGCCTAGGGAAGTTGTGGCCCTTGGAGAAGTTGAAAGTCTTCAATGAACCCCCCAGTACCAGAATAGCTTGGAGCCTCAATGGTACTTGCTTTGGAACCTGAGGTCTGCAAAATGGTCACTCCATGAGATGACCAAGGTTTCTCTGAAGATGGCTTTCAAGTGGGAGATCTAGAGCTCCTCTTCCTTGGAGTCTTATCAGTACCCTCCATGGTCTTATCTCATGATGCTCTTGGTGATTGGGATATGGATGTTGACAGGGCACTAAATGTGCTTGAAGGCAGGTGTACAGAGGGATTCTTAAAGCCTGGATCAGAGGCAGGTCTCAGGGCTTACTCTGTCATGAGCAACCTGAACTGAATTTGCCTCTTTTTCCTAAATCTGCTTTTAAAAGACGTGCAGATCTTGGCTAGTATGTGGGAGTCTCCCAAACAGTGGAGGTATCAAGAATAGTCATCACTAACTGGGATGGATTCCTGGCAGGAAAGGTGGTGCTTGAAGCCTGGAGATCCTGGCATACCCTAGCAACAATGACCCCCCCTAAAGATAGCCCCTCAGCAACAAAGGCGGTGGTGGTGGGTGGGGTTTAATAGAAAAATCCTCCAATAAAAACAGAATTCAAAACAAGCAAACTAGATAAACTACTAAACTAAACTGAACTATCATACAAACTAAACTAAAAGGGCTAAACTACAGGCTGTGCTAAAGTGGACATGCAAGATGCTCTGTCTCAGGGTGAAGAGCAGTTGATATGGTGGTTAGCCCATGCAGCTCTATATATCCTCTGTACAGGGCATGAGAATGTCTGGAGCATGTGTGCGGACCAAATGGTCACTACCACTGAAAATCTCCGATCAAAGGCGCATGAGGACCTGAAGTGGAGAACGCATAGGGACGCTACTCAAAGAAAAATGCATATTGTGCTGACTTGTGCCTGACAACGGCATATAGTGGTTTTGTGATAAAGACAAATGTTTGTGGAAACCAGCATAAGACCAAACTTATATTTACCTATGACCTGAGCCAAGATCTCAGTAATTCTCCGAAGACTGAAGACCAGTAAAACTGGTGGCAAAGTTTCCTCTGCTCTCAGAGACATTGTTTGAAACTGCAAGTATTGTTTGATAAAAGAACTGTTTTTACAATATTCTGGAGCAATGGGGAAAATAGCATGGCCCCATTGCATGGTGCTACAGTTAGTGCACTTCCCTCAATCATCAGAACCTGGTAGTCAGGAATATACACAGATACCAAAGGTAACCAACCAGGCACCCACAAACTAACCCTTATTTGAAACTTGATATTTTTTCCCTAATGGGATGTCTGGCAGCTGGTGTACAGTCTACACACTGAAAGACAAAAAGCAGTAGGAAGCATCCAAAATGAGAGTCTGCTTGACCAGGCCCACTGAACCTCAGCTTCTATCAGTGAGCATTCTACGCAGCATTCCCAGCACCTTGAGATCAGAATATCATCATTTTTTTGGAACAAAAGTACTATCAGACTGAGTACTGGGAAGCTTACAGGATTGTTTTATACAGTTATTCTTTCTAAAATACGTGCTAATGCTTTTTTGAGCTATTTCTTCCACACAGTAAATAATCCTTATTCAGAAAGGGCCATCCAGATCTCTCTGTCAATAAAATGAAGGTGTAACAGGACTTCAGTGCCCCTTCCTGATAATATCCCCATTGCAACCTGGGATGGAATTATTTAGGGGTGGAGGGTGTTGAGAACATATTCACAATGGCTCATTTTGTTGTTCTCAATTATAACAAAACATTCTTTCTGGCTGAGACAATTGGTAAGAAAGGCTGTTAACTTACGCTGAGGGGGCTGAGAATCAAATGGCATCATCATTTTTGGCCTCATCCCTCTTCTTCCTGCCAATGTGGACATGCTGTCCTCTGACTCATGCCCTGAAGAAAGAATATGGAAGGTTACTTACTACAGCACTGATTCCTTCATGACAACACACAACCAGGTGATTTGGCTACAAACATCTTTTAATTCTGTGTGCATAGTATGGCTGTCTTCTTCATAATAGTTCTGCAGCTCATGACTGGCAAGCATCCAAGACTAACAGACTAGATATAGTTCTTCCACCCTCTCCACTGGAATACCAGAAGGGGCGGGTTGGGTTACAGGCACTATTGTGAATGGGAGAAACAGTCCAGACTTCCATGAAACTAATATCCTATAGATGAATCCTCTACACCTGAATGGAACAGAGCCCTGTAACCTAGTCACTAAACCCAACCTAATAAATAGAAACATAAAAAAAATAATTTAATAAAAACTTCTATTATAATCTAAATAACATTTTAACAAATGCTTTTGCCAGATACAGTGGTTATACTGTATCTAATTTTACACAATGAAATACCAAGATCCAACTATGGCTTATTGTTAGGCAAACTTACCTCTGTATGAGTTGCGCCTTTGATGGATATTGCTATCCATGGAATTGTCAACTGGTGTGATGTCCTGGGAGTTGCGAGGGATTGGGGTGTCTGTCATGATTGGGTTAGGGTCTGGAGATTTATCAATGGGTTTCAGCTCCAGTCTCTCATGATGGATCCAAAGGTCAGGGGGTTTGACATCCTTGGAATTTCCTTTGTATTTATGGGACCCATTCACTGATTTACAGGCAGCTCGTTTCCTTGCAAAACAAGAAAATAAATGAAACATTCTTAGACAAATATTTTGTTACTCTCAGAGACAGGCGAGTTTTCATTTAAATTTCTTTCAGATCTACTATTCAGCTGTGGGGCAGCTAACTACCAGGCAAGAAGCTTTCTTTTACAGATGTACATGTTCTACACCTAAAGAGATAGGCTGGTGTACTATGCAGCCATTGATTTTTGTTTCAAAATCTGCCACGTGCTGCAGAACCTAAGCTTTCATGAACAAACATTACTGGTAAATTCCCAGTCCTTATGGTTGTGAAGATAAGTGTGAAGTGTATGAAAACCAATGCTCTATTGTAGTCCTAAGTGTGCAAATAGCCTTAAATAATAGCTGCAAGTGGGGTGTGAAATGACACAATTACTTCAAAATGGTGATAACTCTGAAGTTTAATGTTGATAGTTTAAATATTAATGATTTTACTACTGATCAGGTTAGCAGACACATTCAGCTAATGTGCTTACTCGCTCTTGTTGGAGTAACAATGCCAGGTTCTGGAGTGTGAGGCGATTTTTGTGTGATGTTAAGAGTTTTTACAGGTGGAAAATGAGGCGTTCAAACACGCCTTTCCACCTTGGACCCTGGGAGCAAAAAAGGAAATGTCATATCTGGCATCAAGAAGGAATGCAAGTAACAATTAAGATGTGATTAAAACAAGGCAAATAAAGAATTGGGGAGGAGGGGGCTTTTTCAGTTTCTTTACACTGTGCAGGGAGTGGCTAGCCAGAGAAGCTCCATTTGTCATGGCACCAGGGTAGCCTGAAGAGTGCAGCAGGAGCGAGGGTATTTCACTCCCTGAAACTCCTCTTTTGCGAACAGGGGCTGCTAACAGGGAGTTTCGCAAGGGAGTTCTCCAGGTGAAGGAGGAGCAATACAGCACCCTTTTGGGGTAAGTGACTGTCTGTAGTGTGTGTTTGTTT